TTAAGGGAGAGTATAAACCCACGTGGATAGCAAAGTCTGTTCTTAGTTCTAACTCTTATGTATCAAGCAGGATAGGTGAAGTTGTGCCACAGTAACAAATAGCACTTTAGTTTCAGTAGCTTAAAAAAGCAAGAGTTTTTTTTTTCTCTTTTTTTTCTTGTGCTATAGCTTTGTCATGAGTTGACAGGGTTGTCTCTTCATTATGGTCATAGAGGGACCCAGGTGATGAAAACACTATGGCTTTTAGGTTTTCCAGTCCCTATGACAAAGGGACAGAAGGACTCTAGAGGGTCTTGCACCAGCAATTAAACAGTATAGCCCAGAAATTTGCATATGTCTTTTCTACTTATAACTTTTGACCAGAAATATTCAGTGAGCAGTATAATGCCTACCACAGTATACCACCTCACCAGTGAGTGGAGATAGAAGTACGTCATTTCCTGCTGTGTGAAAAGTCTTTGCCAACTTTCAACAATGTTTTGGAAAGCCCTCAAATAAGGATCTTTTATCAAAAGATCACAATATTCACATTTTAGAATATAATGGAAATCATAGAATGGCTACCAATAGGTATATCTTTTGTCAGAATTGTTTTAAATAATAGCGGCTTGGAAAATATTATGATCTGGGAGCATTAAGACTTACACACAATGTTAAATTCAAATGGATATTTACCTTTAATTTTATCATCCAGACACTGCCACTGACAAATGATTAGTCAAGCAACAATTGCCCTGCGTCCATATTCAACTTTCTCCAAGCATAGTTTCTCAAATTTATGCAGAGGAATTGCTGCCTTTTCCTTATAAAATACATCTAATTTATTATGAGTTTATATTACTGTGATTTACAACCCTGGCACAAATAGTTAATTGGAAAAAAATTACGAAAGAGGGCTCATAATTATCTTTCTGAACATTAAAATTAGAATGAATATGCCATCCTGAAAACAGGCTATTTCACTGACATTCACAATAGGATGAGCAGTGTGCACTGACGCTCTTCTAATTCATATCTAGCCTGCATCCACAGCAGTGACTGCCATCAAGGAGCCCTGAATCAAATTACCCTTTCGGTTCTCACATGGAACAGGAAGAACGTCTCTCTACTTCAATGTTGCGTTTCCCATCTTTTTAAAAGAGAAAATTACTCCCATGGTAAATCATATGGTTTCAAGGGTTTTTAGGTTTGCTCTAATCTGGCCTCACTCAATTCAGGAAACACAAGTACAAACGAATTTCCAGTGAGCCTTTGTTGAAATCCTCTCAGTAATGGAGAGTCCATGGCCTCAAAATGGCAGCCACTCATTTTTTTAAGTAGCAGTAATTATTAGGAAGTCCTTCTTATAGGGACTGAAGTCTTGCTTTCACTAGTCTTCTCTGGTCCTGGTGAGTCAGCCTCTCTGTGGCTTCCCCTGTCCAGGTTACAGTTGTCCAAGTCTGGAAATGGATTCTCTCATGTCTTTTAATCATATCTTAGTATCCCCAGGCCTCCTGATTTTCCTTTTGGGGGGAGAGGTTTTTGTTCATCCAGTCTTTTTAGCAGAAGATTAATATCTGTCCTAAAATGAGGTGCTTAGGGATAGGCCATGACATCCTGCTGGAGTGTGACTGTCCTTCTTGCTCTGGATATGATTCTCTTATTAACATAGCTCAGTACTGTACTTATTTAAACATAAATCACCCCAACATATTGGCTCATACCAAACTCCCCATGAAATCAACCTGAGTCTTTTTCATGACACGAGGAGGTCTTCTGTCTTCTACTTAGTTGGGTTTCCCCCCCTTTTTTTGGTTTAATGCAGAAGGTAAGTCTGTCTTTATTATATTTCATATCATTATTTTATTCTGTATTTCTAGGCCATCCAGATGCTTTTGAAGGTTTTTGTTTTAACCATCCAACTTATTAAATCATCCTCGCAGCTATGTGTTATTTGTGTAATTAATATACATTCTATTTGTATCTTTATCCAAGACATTGATAGAAACACTGGGGGGAAAAAGTAAACAGAAAATCCTGCTTCAGGCTTTGACTTATATTTTTCTCCCTCGATTTAAAGACTTTTGAGATACTATTAAATCTGTTGCTGGAAATCACATCTGTAAAATCTATGACTTCACTCAGCTGGTAAATGATAAAAAATGGACATAATGAGAGCTGATGAAATTTCTACTTTGTGGAACTTTGTTGCTAGTGATTCTGACTTCCTTCTAGAAGGGTTCAGAAACGTAGGGCAGATGAGAGTCAGTTGCTAATGGAAGTCATTGCCCTGGGGACAAGTGGCAGCATCTTACCTTCCTGTCCTGTGCATGCTTCCATATCCACATGGGGATCAGGGACTTCCTTACAGGTGTTTATATGTTCTTTATGCAACTCATTGACACACACACAGTGTATGTGCACAGCACAATTTTCCTTTGGTCTACAGAAAAATCTGGGTGTAACACTCACTTGTCACAGATTAATAGCACAGTAAATTTTTTTTAAATTTTATATGCTTATTTTTGAGAGAGAGAGACAGGGTGCAAGCAGGAGAGGGGGCAGAGAGAGAGAGAGGAGATACAGAATCTGAAGCAGGCTCCAGGCTCTGAGTTGTCAGCACAGAGCCTGATGTGGGGCTTGAATTCATGATCTGTGAGATCATGACCTGAGCCAAAGTGAGACACTTAACCGATTGAGCTACTCAGGCACCACCACCCCCTTTTTTCTTATGTTTATTTACTCAGGCACCACCACCACCCCTTTTTTCTTATGTTTATTTATTTTTAAGAGAGAAAGAGTACAGTATAGTAAATTTTTAGTTTCAGAGGATGGTGCCTTTATGGTGTTATTGTTCATGACTTTGAAGGTCCATGCTGCGTTAGATGTTGTGATTTTGCTCACGTGTGAATGGAATCATGTAGCCCAAATTACCGATGAACCAGAGAGTGTTACTTAGAGTGAGGGAAGTTATTAATATCCCTCAGCATTCCCGGCAGAACTTGACTTTGTGACTTTCATGAAGCCATGGAATTCACTGGTGCAGGTGTGAGTTCATGGTGGATGTCACTCTAAGAGTATCCCAGTGTAGCGTCTTCAGGAATATCATACTATCATGCTGTAGAGTCTGTTTTGAAGGAATGATTATGGCCCTGAAGGAGCACTTAACATTTTCAGTTATTCTTGACTGAATTGCAGGAATGCATGAGGCGAGACGCGGGTACTCCCCCGTGCCTCACGATGGACTTTGTACGAATGGCGAGGCTGTCCTCCACTGAACAGGCACTTCTTGTTGTTGACTGATGGCATCCCCACTGGACAAGTTCCTTTGATCTACTTAAGGCCACGGGCTCTCGTCAAGTGAGCCCTACCTTGAAAACCCTGCGTGACCACAGACCAGATAAGTGACTCTGGCAGCTGGCTCTCTCTGCTTCCAGATGAGGGTAACAGTCATAGCTCTGGCTTCACTGGGTGGCTGTGACATTTAGCATCACATCTACACACACGAGATGTTTCGCACAAAGCACACAGTGTGTGGTTATGAATTTCAGCCTTCCTTCCGTTCCCAGACAGCCACTGAGCAAGTGGCACCCCTCCTGTCTTTTCCTGAGGACGCAGCCCTTCCCTCAGGGGGCCCATGCCCCACTCTGCTTGTCTGCTGCCTTGCCTGGTGTGTTCCTGCTTCTGAGTCCAGGAGTACTTTTTGCTCTTGGCCATATTCTGGTGTGAGATGTGGGACGTGTCCCTCAACCACTTAACCTCTACTGCCCCCCTCTGATTCTTCCTCTTTTCCTTTCTTGGTCAACCAGCACAGGGACTATGGCAAAGGGGTTGGGGGTGCAGGCCAACGTGTCTGCCTGCCTGGGTTCAAGTTTAGCTCCACCTCTTACTAAGTAGGTGGTCTCAGGCAAGATGTTTAACCTCTCTGTGCCTTGGCTTTCTCATCTGTAAAATGGAGACAGTCTTGCATGCTCTTGAATAATCATCTTGATGATCTCATAGACTCACTCTGAAGGTCCAGTGAGTTTATCTATCTACGGTGCTTAGGATGGAGGTCAGCTTGCAGGAAGTCCCATAACAGCCTACATCATTGTTGTTTTCCTTATAGGTCAGGTCACCTATTCTCCTAATTATATGCCCCGCCCTCATCTTTTAAAATGAGTGTGTATGTGTGTGTGTTTTATACAATTAATGACATTCTTTCTGATCACCACTACTTGCTGGACACAAACTCACCTTCTCCTTGGCCCACGCATCACCCACCATCTTAATCATTTCCATTCTTGGCTCACAATACACACTCTCATAGTAAAAAAAAAAAAGAAAAGTCTGTATGTATATGTATATATTCTTCCATTGACTGTACATGAATCACTTAAAAATATGTAACCAATCACATCTGTAATTTAATCCAGACAGAGCTGATCTATGGTGAGAAAGGGCACGAGTGACTGTCAGGTTCACAACCACACACACAGGGTGAGTGCTGCACCACAACTTCCACATCCCCACTGGCCTTCCAATTTGCCTGTAATCTCAGCGAGCGCTCTCAGAAGGAGAGGAAGACCGGAACACGCTGATGTGTTTAGACAAAGAAGAAACCACATTAAACACTGTTAGTAGGTGCGGATCTTTAATGAGCCAATGAAGGAGCAGGGAACAGGCACTTGGCTTCACTTGTGTTTCGGTTTGTATCGCAGCCCAAACGACCCTGGCTCTGCTTCCTTCATGGACACAGTGTCCACAACCACCAACCACAATGTGTTTCAAGGGCAAAGCAGTGGCTTTAGAACATATCGCTTCAACAATTTACCCCCAAGATGATCTGATAAACATTCTCTTCTGCATCACTGAGAACAACAACACACCTCTTGGACCAAGAAGAAAGATATTGGTGACCGAATCCAATGATAAGAAATTGACCCAGTCACTTAAAAAAAATCCAAATTCACATCACCTAACAATTCTTATGCCAAACATATTCTTACCGTACGTTTATACCTATAGCACAGAATTCTTACCTATAACTTTTCCTAGAAAGAGCGACTTGGGAGAATTGAACAGGGTGTCAGATGAACTCGGCAGATGGTAACTCACAGAAGGATAATGATCAAGCTGTAGGGAGAAAACAAGAGACACTTTTAGAAGGATATGGCTAACCTGTGCTGGCATCAAATCTTCCTGGGGGGGATGACATCATTCTTGGAACTCCAGCGTCTGGATATCTTATTTCAGCAGGTGCTGACTCTGAAACACCAGCCTGAGAAAATAGGAAGACTGTCTATTCCTTCTGTGGGGTTATTTGAAAGCAATCTGAGCTTGGTAAGTGAAGACTCCTGATGAATTGTTCTTCAGCGTAGGCACATTTTTTTTTTTTTTTTTTTGGTGAAGAATTTGTGCACATTTTCTGTTGGATTAAGATCCTTGCTCATTTTATGTATTTTGCTTTTTAAAAGTTTATTTTTATTTATTTTGAGAGAAAAACAGAGAGCGAGTGGGGAAGGGACAGAACGAGAGGGAAAGAGAGAATCCCAAGCAGGATCTACAGCTGTCAGTGCAGAGCCCGATGTGGGGCTCAAACTCACGAACCATGAGATCATGACCTGAGTCAAAATCAAGAGCTGGACACTTGGGGCACCTGGGTGGCTCAGTCAGTTAAGCATTTGATTTCAGCACAGGTCATGACTTCACAGTTTGTGAGTTTGAGCCCTACATCGGGCTATGCCCTGGTGTTGCAGAGCCTGCTTGGGATTCTCTCTCTCTCTCTTAAAATAAATAAATAAACTTAAAAAGAAAAAAAGAGTTGGACACTAAACCAACTGAACCACCCAGGCAACCCCCTTGCTCATTTTAATAAGAGTAAAGTCTACTTGATCCAATCTCCAGTATTAACCTCTGAGATAGAAAATGCTACATCTATAACAATGAATAACGATGCTTATTGTCCAGGTTTATTCACCTTTCCATACTATAAGCTTTCAGACCAATACTGATCTTTGGTATGCATATTCAAATATGAACATATATACATAAATATGTATATTCAAGCGTTGAAACTCAACTTGGGTAAAATATAGTTTTTTGGCTTATCAAATTAGGATGATACTCCCACAGGGCAGGGACATTAGAGCCTGGAGGGGACAAAGACACATTTGCTCCAGAATGTCTCGTTCTTTCCGAGAGGAGGTGAGTTGGCAGTGGAAGGACGGGAAGAGAATCAGGTGGAAAGAGCTTACAGATAATGGCTGTCCGAGCCACGCACATTTCTGATGACATTTCCCACGAACGAAGTGCAAACGCTGGGGTCCCCGTACGAGGATTTCTCTTGTCCTCCGCGTCCCAACATGGCTTTTCCTGCCTTAGCTGTCTTTTTACAACTGATACGATCTAATTCTGTTTCCCCCACTGGGAGCCCCTAGAGTTTTCTGTGCCACTTTGTAGCCACCTGTGAAAAATCTCTTTCGCAGCCTTTCGCTTCTCTTGAGATGGGTTGCGTACCTGCTAAGGTAAGTGGGGTGAAGTGCAGACCAAGGAAGCACTGCACCACGGTGCCTGCGCTGCTGGGATTGCACACAGGGCCTTGCTGAAGGCGGCAGCACAGACTCCAGAAACTGGAGCCCCCCCTGTCCTTGGGGGTCACCGCCAAGACGGGCGAAGCTTCAGGAAGCCAGGCTGCTGTCTGCACAAACAGGTGCTGGGAAGCGAGCTCATCTCCTGCTCCACGTGGACAATGAGCCTCTTTGAGGAATGACCTCACCTGACTCCGGAGACCGCTTACTAGAGACTCAGGGCTTATTGAAAAGCCGGGGTTCAAAGACTCATCGCATCTCTGGAATCTGGGGAATTCTGACCTGTAGAGCCGGTATAATAAAAATATTGTGTGCGAGAACTGGTGGCACTGGAACAGAGCTCCAAAAACACTGGTAAAGCAAACGCTGGCATGCTCACCTCGAACTCTAAAGGGTTTTCTATCATTTTAAGTGCATCACTAACAGGACACTTATTCTGCCGAGGGAATCTTAAGACATTTTAAATCTCACGAAGTTGCTATGCTGGCTGCTGAATATTAGCTAGCTGCTTTGGCGCCATCTGGTGGCAAATGTAGGTAACTGCTGCTGTCCTTCCCTCCACTTCCATAGTCAGAAAGTTTTTTGGTCAAAAAATATACCCATAGAATGCCAACATAATCCAATATGATCAGCTACCCTACATGCTTCACAGCGATGCTCTTCCCCTAAATACTTCTTATATTTTTATCTGTCTCAAAGAACTTAAAGATGGATTCAAACCATGTATGTTCATTATAGAGAAAATAATAGTATAGATTTGCAGAAAAAACCCCACCTGGTGATAATTAGTGTTTTTATCAAGTCAACTTTTGCATGTATATTATTTTAATTTTTTTTACAGAAATTGGATGGAACCCAGCTACACATATTGCTTTGTATTTACTTTTCATTACTTAAAGATGTAGTATGAAATTCTGTGTCAATAAGTCTACAACTAAGTCATTATTTGTCATGAATTACTGGTATCCCGTTTTATGAATATTCCATACATAATTTTAGAAACTGTCAAATTTTGATGTTTAAACTTTTAGATTTCTTTTGTCTTTTGGCCCTGTACAGTGTCAAGCACATAGTGGTCCTCAATAAAAATGTGTTGACATTTTTAAGTCAACTCTTAAAGTAACTCTTAAAGTTGTGAACAAAGGGGCGCCTGGGTGGCTCAGTCCGTGAGGTGTCCGACTTTGGCTCAGGTCATGATCTTGCGATCTCTGAGTTCAAGCCCCACATCTGGCTCTGTGCTGACAGTTCGGACTCTGTGTCTCCCTCTCTTTCTGCGCCTCTCCAACTCATGCTCTGTCTCTCTCTGTCTCAAAAATGAATAAAGGTTAAAAAAATAAAAAAATAAATAAAGTGCACACAGAGTGAAATCAGTTCTCAGATGTGGCCTGACCCACCCCATGGAATTACCTTTCTTCCCTTGAACTGTTTCTATGGATCCAGACCAGACTGACTTGGCTGTTTAGCAGCCCTTTAATATTACTTGTGTTGAGCTCACAGTAAAATAAAATTCCTGGCTTACTTTCAACTTTCCTCCCTTCCTGTATATATGGAGTTAAGAACTTGAACCAAAACCTAAATTTTATGTCTACTTATATTAAGGTTTATTTTTTCTTTTGTGTTGAAGGAAAAGTTTCTGAATCTTGATGCTGTCATGTGAAATATCAGTGATCCTGCCTGGTTTTGATTTATTGTAAATGTTCCGAATACTCCTAAGACTTACTTCATCAAGGAAGTGGGGTCTCAGAGTGATGCCTCCGTGATGGCACAGCCTGGGGACAAGCCCTCCAGATGACATTAAGATGCCCTGTGCAGTTCCCTCCTCTCCCACCCCCCATGGCCCACGTGCTACAAACGCCTTCTGTCTCCCACTGCACACACACACCACAGGCTAACATGCACCTGCTTCCTCACCGGCACTCCTGCGGGTGACTTCCTGCTCAGCCAGCAAGCAGACCAGCTCGAGGCTGGCCAGACCAGAACCCCTCTGCTCTCCGGAGGGCTGAACATCACACCTTCTCCAATGGCGTCTGAGATCCTCCACTGTTCCTCAGGTCTGGCGGAGCCTCTAGGAACTTCTACTAGAGTTCCCTTCTATCGTCGGTTCCCTTTATCGTAGTTAATTCTTATTTCCAAATCCCCCATGTTTAACCCACTGTGCGGCTTCTGTCTCCTGACCGGGCCCAGACAGCTACACCAGGAAAGGAGGAAGCATGTACTGAGCGACAACTGTATGCAAGGCTTGCTGGGCTTTTCACATCTTATTTACTTCTAAATATTGGATAGGTGTCCTCTTCTTTGGTAATACAAAAAAGTGTCCAAAGTCAGAAGGAGAGTAAGTGGCAGAATTGGCATTGCAGCCAGAGATCAAATGGTAAGCTACCAGAGACAGTCTCCAGAATTAGTGCAGCCATCCCCACTAGGAAAGGGAGAGGATCGGCCGCATTTTAAGTATTGACATTTGAAGGAGGAAATGCATTAAAAATCAGATAAGGCAAGAAAGGCTGAACCTGAGAAGCCCAAGGCCATGTCACACTACATCATTTCACGTGTATTGCCAGGTAGCCAGCCACCTCCTTTCCAATGAGCTCTGGTGCATTTGCCATGGTTAAGTGTAATAATTTCAAGGTAATTTCTTTGGGGTCCACGTGAACTATTTTGCTGTGCATTTAGCTGGTGGTCATTTTACTGGCAGTTAAGAGGCAATAAGAGATTGTGTAATGGAGGCTCATAAAAATTAAGGACTGTGACTCCATGTGCCTCGAGGTGACCTTAAGGGAGCACTAATTTGTTCAACATTTACCATTATACCGAAATCGAAATCGGGCTGGGGCCCTTGTCCTAAGCGCCAGAGTTGAGAGCTTTAATGTTCATTCAGGTATTATTTTACAGTTTCAGTTCATTTGCATTTGTAAGCCTGCGTTTGAAGGGATTTCATCCGCCTTGCTTGTGTTTTGGGGGTGGAGTGGAGGAGGCAGGGAAGGAACGAGATGAAAGACTGAAGCAGCGCAGATTCCGTCCCACCACTGGAGGGGCAGCTCCACCCCAGATGAAGCGACACTCTGGACAAATATCCGGGATGTCGTGCCTCCTTTCCTCATCCTGAGTTTTGGGTAATACGTGGAATTAGCTCAGACACACTGAATCAGAACATACCATCTTGATGGGGGTTTCTATTCCGCGTTGAAGCTGAAACCTGACCATGAGGAAAGGTCATTGCAAACAGATATTAGGGACGAAACCAATCAGCTTGTCTTATCCCCAAACTCTCCCTTCCCCTCCATCCCCACCTGGCCCCCCCCCCTCCCCCTATGGATGTTATAGGAGAAGGAGTTTGAAGAGCAGAGACTGTACCTTTCTCTCCCATCTTAACCTCGTCCCACCTGGGGGCCCGCAGAGGGGTCCCTGCAGGCTGCTCACAACTGATAACTGACCGAGAAAGGGAAAGAGCGGGACTCAAGCCTGGCACCAAGGGCTCATGCACTACAGTGACTCTTCCTGACCCCAAGCCACTGTGTTCTCATTGGTGGAGAGGACACGGTAAACTTA